AGCTCCTATTTATGTCACAGTGTGCACATTGGGCAGTTACCCAGGAAAAGCAGATGCACATCCCCACCTTTTTTTCACAATAACATCTTGACATGCCTGTGTACGTATACAAAGCTAGCATGGTGCTTCCCTAAGTCTGCTGGTTTGCACCGCTCTATACCAGGGTCGGGCCCTCTCACATGTCACTTCTGCAAGTTCAGCTGTCAGCACTTTCCCCTAACATCAGTTGCTCCCAGTAAGCAGAACTTGTCGCAAGGGGAATCAGCTCCCACTGCCGACTGCTGCTCATTTTCCTCACCAGTTGGCAGCAGGGGAATGAAGAGGTGATGGCTGAAGTAGGGGAGGGCACATGGGCAGAATCAGCAGCTGTAATTCACATGTGTTTGCTCCTGCCTCCTTCCCCACAATACACACACACTTTGGCAAGCATTCCTCTAGCATATGAAGAAGCTAAAACAGCAGAAAGCACCTCTGTACCAATGTGCACGTCCACGCTGGAGGTGGTTTTACTCACCTACAGTTACAGCCATACAAAACTACCATATTTACCCAAATCCAAGACCAATTCAAATTTAAGATAACTCTAATAATTAGGTTTTAGGCATGTAAAATGATAAATTTATCATTTTCCATGTCTAAAATCTAATTATTGGAGGGTCATTTTAAATTTGCCCTCCCTATGGCTGCCTTAGGGAAAGCAATGGTAGGGACGGGGAGCAGCAGGAAAGTAGGCAGCCTTCCCATACACTGATTTTGCCTCCCCCTACATTCAGGCCCCTGGTTCCTGCCCCTGGCCACCTGTGTTCTTGGCCACTTGCCCCCACTCCCCAATTCCAGGCATACTGCCGTGCCCACTTGCTTCCCCCTGCAGCCTGATCCTCCCATCACTGCTTACCCACTTTGGTGGCTCTGGTTCTGGCTTCAGTCTAAGACACACAGCACACGGTAGCTCTGGCCCTAGCCACACTGCAGTAACTGTGGCAGCTCCAGGTCCAGCTCCAGCCCCACCCCAGACCCAGGTCAGGGTCAGACCTAAAGCAGTTCTCCCAGTGTCCCATCCCTCCCTCACATACCATGCAGTATTCCCCATGCTAGGGCCACAACAGCCCCCTAGCCTGGGCTGGTACCTGACTCTGAGGTGAGGTTTCTTTTCCTCTCCCCCCTACATGTTGAATGGGGAAAAAAAAAAAAGTCTACTCAGTACCCTACAAATCTGTCTTTTTCTTGTGGTTTTGAGAAAAAGACAGTACATGTGAACAAGTCTTTTCTTGTGTTTGCTTTGGTCTACATGGACATACTTAACTGAAGCAATTTCCAAAACAAATTCCTCTGTCCTCGTGGAATAATGATTTGTCATAATGTACCTGCTGCAGGGGTTCGCTTACAAAATCTGGCGTAGCAGAATTTATTATTGTGCAAACTGGATTATTGTACATAAATGCTTTGCATCCAGAGGGATGGAAATTTAGATCAAATTCAGGAGAATAAGGATCCATCTTCCTAGCATTGCCATCTGGCAACTTAACAATAGAAGCATTGTTAAATATTTATCAGATTTTTGGAAACCACACGTAAAACAACAAAAAAAAAGGGATACAGAATAAATACCCAAAATATTATAATGCTGTTATATCAATGGTAGGCTATCATTTCAAATACCAGATACAGTGTTGTTTGCCCCACTCAAAAGACTCTGCAGAATTACAGGAGAAACCTGAAAAAACATGAGAGAATACAACAATATTAGAAAAGAGAAAAAAATCATATTGCAAGAGATAATGAAGAGGATTGCTCACCTTAGAAAGAAGAATATGAAGTGATATGACAACATAGTGAATGGTAGCAGGAAGATTGATCAAGAAGTTCCATTGCTCTTGTGTCATAAATACAAGAATAAGAGATATTTGATTTAAAATGTGATAAATTCGAACTGATAAAAAGAGACACCTTCCGATTCAAACACTTAATCAGAGAGGCTAAAGAACTCACCATCAAAAGTTGTATGGCACTCAGACAGTGATTAAGTAAGCATCCAAGAGGGACTGGGTGTTTGTGTCGCTTGGAATATCCAGAAATGATAGTTAATGCAAAAAACACATTTTGCAGTAGACAAAACATCATACTTCAGGTTTTAGCTAATTAAGATATACTGCACCTTCATGGGGGCACGTTGTCCCACATCTCACTGCTGTGAATTTCTTTGTATGGCTGTCCTCAGAGACAGCTATTATTGATTACAGTGGGTGACAGGATAATAAATTAAAAAAGTCCAAAGACAGAAAGGCATCTCCTGCATTTCTAATGAAGAACTCACAGCAGACAAGAAGTTAAACATGTTATCCCACTGAAAAGCGTGAACATAAAATAGTCATATTTTGAGTTTGTAAGTCCAACATTTACTTTTCCACAGCCTTTGGCACCATCCAGCTCAATCGGGCAGTCCATGATGAGGAACAATGTCTAATGAAGCCATAGAGAGTTTCCCCTGCATAAATGACCGCAGGCAAGGCTGGCTTATGGCAAGGCACTTTGTCAAACTTAGCAAAAAGGTCCCCATTCCAGAGGATTTACTTATATTTAGCTTTTTAAATAGCTTTAAATCCCTTCGAAATCAAAAAAGATGTTCACATCATCTCCTTGAAGCTCCTTTAACTTGCTACATGTAGAGCCTGGAAAGGGATTATACTTATCTCATGTTAGGATCACTCTCAACATGTGCAGTTTCAGATATTTAAAGAAATTCACTGAACGGTCCCCTCAGGATTGTGAGAGAAGTGTCCTACTCTGTGTCATGCCAGCAACATTTCTCAGTATTTTAGTGCTTGCAACAAGGCTGTTAACTATTTGTTTGCCCCTTGCCTCATAATGGGTGCAACTGCACATGTATTAAATGTACACAAGTAAACTCTGGAGTTTATTGCTCCAGTTTTTGCTCTGAGGAGCGCTATTTGAATATGCACTCAGGAACAACAACAACAACCACCACCCCCCCCACCAAAAAAATAAATAAAAAAAAATTGGAGCATATTGCTCTGGAGTTTGTCTTATGCACAGCATGTGGAACCTGCTTGGAGCAGCCCTGGGCCTAACCCACATCTATACCATCACTTCATGAAGTCTACAAATTCACAGCTACAGGGGTCTGGAGAATTACTGTATTCTGAATACATATGGGTCCCAAACCAAAACTTTTATTTATTTATTTATTTTTTACTATTTTCACTTTTTTTTTTTTTTAACTGAGCGATAAATGTTTTTACTGTCATTTAAAAAAAAATCTTGGACTGGTAGCCCTGTGCAACTACAGCAGTAGCTGTACACCCTGCTTCCCCCACCATAGGGGTTCCCTACACACCCCACATTGACACCACTGACTGCACCCAGCACCCTGTTGCCCCCTCCAGCTCACCTTCTAGCTCTGCCTCCACCCATTTCATTCCCCCAGTCCTGGCATGGACCCTCACCCACTGGCTCTCCCCTTCCTAGCCCACTGCCACTATGACAGAGCTGGCACACAAAATAGCTAGCCCTGCAAGGTCACCAGCATTGTACAGCAGTATCATATTGTTCAGATAAGTTGATCTTGTGTTTGAGAAACCAACTTCATACTTTTTTTGTTACGCTTCTTTTTGGAGGAAGGACACCCATCAGGGTGTGGATTACTGGTTCAAAGGGCTAGGGTTACAGCCACTAAGAGATGCAGAGTAGGGTAAGAGCTACAGAGCTAGAGTTAGGAGTACCAGTCTTGCGTGGCTTGATAGGACTCTGGCCAGATCCTGAAAGGCACCACATGTGTTGCACATTAAACTGCACACGGCGCTGCTAATTTGCAGCACTGGGACAAAATTTACTACTGGGATTTCCTGGTAGCAACCCCCACCCCAAAAACAAAAAACAAAAACAAAAAAACCTTAAGAAAAAAGTGGCATAAAGCATACCAGAGTGGTGCGAGCTGGGACAAATGTGAAGACGGGAGCAGGCAGCCCTGTGGAGCCCTCGCACTGAGGCACCCTGCACTCCCTGGCTGGCTGGGGTGCAACGTGCCTCAAGATGGGGGAGCAGGCAGCTCTGGGTCTCTGTGTGCCTTAGCACAGGGGCTATACTGTGAAGTCCTCTACCAAGGCATGTGGAGCCCCTGTCCTGAGGCACACTGCACCTCAGCCAGCTGCTCCACAGAGTACACTTCCAGGGTACTCCACCTTAAATGGTCATTCATAATTTTCCTCTGCAAAAAGAATATGCAAGACAGAATCAAGACAAAAATATCTTAAGTCAATTTATTCATGACCATGGTATTGGGCAGCAGTATTGAGTCAGTGCGTTTCTCAATTAAGAATTTATAAATCTGGAAATCATCGGGGGAAAAAAATCGCCACTTTCTATTCACAAAATTTACTTGAACACTTTTTCCACAATTATTTACAATTAATTTAAGCTATTTTGGTATAAAGTTAAACAGTGGTATTAAATACATTAAAAAAATTATACATACATACATATATCTGCAACAGCAATTGGAAGTAAAGTTAGTCTCATTTACTCATTGAAACAGCAGTTGAAATGTTATCTAGAAAGAGGCCCAATGTGCCAAAAGCTGCAAAATCAACACTGTATGCAGAAACAGGAGGTATACCACTATAAAGGCAACACTCTGAAATTTATGATGCCCAGGTTTGTTACTTACTGCTTAGACTTTTCTAATGTCAGCATTATAGTTGAAGACCTAAGATGTAATTTTTGGCAAAAATAATCCCACCCGTACCCAGAAGTCTGGTTTCTGGGGTGTGCACTGGTTTTGATTCGTGTTCTTCACAGTGCTAGTACTACACTGATCCCTGGTGGGGGGGGGAAGAAAAAGATCATCAATAAATGAGTAAATCTAAGAATTGTGCAAAAAAACCGAAAACTGATGAGTTTTGCTGGCTGATAATTCAGCTTTCCCTTTTATAGGAAACTACTAAAGATACCTCTGTGCAAAATGAAAAACCAGAAGCCTTGACTGCTATACCCAAATTCTAGGTATTTACAGAAAGTGTTTAGCAAACAGAGTACATTCACACAGCACAAGGATTTGTGAATAGTTTTTGGGCATGGTCATTTTTTGTATTTTCACCTGTACACAAAACTAATTCCCAGTAATATAAAAATAACATTACATACATGCAGCAATGGAAAAATGTTTTCCTTCACAATCTTTTAAAAAAGATTACATTTTCAAATTACATTGCACTTGATAAAAAGGATATCATATGCAGTTAACATTAAATATACACTGTACAGATGAGAATTTCTAGTCAGCTTTAGTACTCTATATTTTCTATTAGTTTTTCATTTATAGCTTAAAGGAAGAAAATGCTGTTGTTAAAGATAACTGGCTTTCCTTAGACAGACAAGAAGAACCTTTTGCACATGAAGAACCCATACTCCCTTCAGCTCCTAGTATATTTAACACACACAATTTGTCATCGATTATCTTGAAAGTCTCCACATTTGTCTTCTCCTCAATTAGGCAAGAGGATATCTACGTTCCAGCGATACAACTATACAGAAATATTTTCCATGCTCTACTACAGTTGAAACTGTCAAATTATCCAGGATCTTTTCAATTTTCCTGTGCTAAATTAGGTATTTAGTTTAAGCTTAATTATACAAAAGTTAATTTTAAAAAATAACTCAATTTACATGAATGGTATTTGTAGATACCAAAGTTTGCATATCCCCAAACCTGGATCCTGGCTTGTGAACTGCCTATTTTGGGATACACTGTTAAGCAAAAACAGATTAATTCAATTCAGAAGCAGACTCTGGTGCTCATGCTACACCAAATGAAAATCAGTAATGGCAACCTCAATGAAACAAACGATTTCATTTGGAGTGGCCCTTTTTGTGGACACAAACACCAGCAATATCCCCATGTTTTGCAAATAATAATCCAAGTACTCTAAAATCAGGATGAAAATAAGGGCATGCAGTACTGGCCAACAAGGGAATGTTGTGGATCAATTTAACTGTAACTAGTATCAGCTGTTAAGGAGTAGGACATTTCCTGTGACCAGCATGCATGCATAAAATTGGTCTTTCAAAAGAATATGACCTAGCAGAATACAAAAAGTCGTTTTCTCCAAAGCAGCTGATTCTTCCTACCTTCTTACAAGAGACATTTATAGGACTTAGCATTAAGTATTTCATATTGATGATCACCTATGCACATACGAAAGACTAAGCAACTTAACTTTTAATCAAATATTAAACAGCGTTTGCAGACATCAGATCAGCAGAAACTAGTGACAATGTCTGGTACTGATGATGTACTGAGCGTTTTTAAAAAGTATACACCAATAAAGATATTCTGTCTAACAGCTACTAAACAAAAACATACCATTGGCAACCATCTATTAATGTAACAACTGTTGGAAAAAATGACCATTTTATACGTTCCTATAGTGCATTATTATAGCTCGTCATAGTGCATTATAAAATAACAAGGTCCTAGGATAGGAATGCCTCTGCAGTGATCAGAAAAGTTAAAATCCTTTTCATGTCCACTTTCAAAATGAAGTTAGGGTTTTCCAAAGCGTCCATTCAAAGGCTGCCAGAATAGTTAGAAATGGGGGAAGATGAGGAAGGGCAGAGCAGGTTATTTCATGTTTCAAGTCACCCTTGGGATGTCACTCAAGGATCAGGCAACAGATGGCTTTGTAAGTGATCTAGTCATTCAGGCAGTACCATCTGATGTGGAGATACAACTCAATTCTCTTCACAAATTGGCTGCATCCTGACAATCCATTACGTAGCCTCACTTATTAGTACCTTAAATAGTAAAGATTAAGGATAAGTAACATAGAATGCATCATAAAACTTCTCTCTAAAACATGGAATAATTCAGTTATAAATAGAGGAAATTCAACATGAGAATGACTGGATTTCAACCAACACTAGACGGTATATATAATTAGGTAGTCAACCTGGCAAATACATGTTTTTGGCAAATCCTGGCAAATAACTCTGCATTTCCCAAGGTACTGGGTACATCTCCTCATTTGACTACATGGTGGGGGAGAGGAGAGAAGACACAAATTAATATGGGTAAGTCTTTAGCAAGTGGAAGATTTAAAAGCAGGAGCCATTTAACTTTGTGGAAGGTGGAATCAACTTTCAAAAGTTTGGGAAAGATTAGAATGGATTTGTATAGTGGTTTAGCCATCCCCATAAGCCAACTTTTTGCAATTTTGCAGCCACCTCTGCATGGTTGCATGCAGTAGCCTATAACACTGAAAAAATTAAGAAACAAAAAGGGGGAAGGTACCATTTTTATGGAGATAGCAGGGAAATTTAGGTAGACAGATTTCTGACATGTCTTGGAATAAGGCCTCATCACCAGGGCCCATGTCTCTCTCACTGGGAATCTTGATAATGAGAGAGCGCGAGCTTATCTACCTGATGCATCTTTCAGAAGAGGCAATGTGAGCAGCAAAACATCCACAGACCACGCTGTGGCATGGCATCAATTCAGATAGTCACTTTCCACCAAAAAAAAAAAAAAAAAAAAA